CCAGAAATTATGATGGCTGGCTTTACTTGACTATGGTTTTATAGAAAAGTTTTTTGGCTATTGTTTAGTTTTCTTGAATCATTCAATTTCAAAATAGTTACCTGTTACATTAACTCATTTTTTTATTTGTACATAATGGTACTCACTTCACATGTTCTGGGTGTCCTCTCACAAAAGACTTCTATTTTAATATCACCTACATCTGTATGCAGTGTCACCGACTAAAAAGGAGAGAGAATGTGAGGAAAATGAAGATTTCTTCAGGTAACTTTATGCACTGTATGATTTCCCTACCTAGATATTAAAGATGACCTAAATAAAAGTAGATAGAAATACTGTTTCAGAGATGACTGGTCCACATAGAAGCTCTGGGGGATAACTTATATTTCTTCAAAATTTACTTCAGCAGTAGGAAACAACTCCAGAAGATAAACATAAAGTTTAGGGTAAAATAGTACCTATGCTAAAAACTGGGGAGCAAATATTATGATGAAAATAATTAAGTTTGAATTTTTCATCAATAAAAATAAAAATTGTAATGTTAGTTATTATTGATTTAAATGGCATTCACTGACATCATTAATATTTACTGAACAATAGTAAGAAAATGAATTTCAAAATATAGTTCCCACCATTTCCCTTATGTAATTTGTGAGATACAGACCCAAAGACAAGACATAAAAAAATCAATGTTTCTAGATTCTAAATGTGCAGAGGTACCCATAGTACTCTTTATGCTTGCTGTTTGTATTACCTGTTGTTTTGGTAGTTTGAATACTCCTTTTGTTACCCCATTCCAGAAAAAAGGAAAAGTATTCTGGGGCTTCCTTTTTCATTTCTATTCTTATAAAAGTATCCAGCATTCATAAAGTATGGCTAGTTGAAAATAGAGAGGAGCGTGTGTTGTCTGTAGGAGGCACGGGGTGGGGTGGGGTAGGACATTATTCTTATTGCTTTTCATCTATTTAGAGCTCTATTGTTCACCTTAGATACAGAGAAAAGGTTCCAATTAAAATGGTCACACCTGGCTACATCCTTCTGCTCCTCCTATTCACCCTTTCCATCTCTGTATCTTGTAATCAATCTTTTTTCCACAAAAGGTAAATTCTGTGTTTTAAGTGAAAACATAAACAATTTAAAAGTAATTTTGCTTACTTCGTTTTGCTTAGAATATTTTCAGTGTATGAATCACAGCTTATCATTTTTCTGTCTTCTCATATGAAATTTCCATGCCGTTTTATTTCCCCTGACTGAACTTCTAAAAATTATTTACAATGAAAGATATTCATAAGAATTCTATAAAACTTACCATTTTTCTTACTGTTACTTAATTTCTCAGTCTTATTGAGCGAAGTTCGAAAACAAATCTCTATTACCAAAAGAAAAAATAATTAAGTTGATTTGCTTCTCTTACCTCACTCATGCTCATGTTTACTGCATATGTACAAGAAAAAGTCTCGAAGAGTACCCTCCAAGTAATAAAAATCCGATTATGGAAGTGATGAGGAGTTCCACCCCACTCAAGGCCCTCAACCTCCTACATCCCCTGCTCACTGTTCTTCAAGGGTCTCCTTGCAGTCCTCCAACAAGCAGGTACATTTCCGCCTCGGGGTCTAGACACTGGCGGTTCTCTTCGCCTGGACCGCTTACACTCAGGCATTTATTCGGCTGTTTTCCTCACCTCCAAGCCTGTGCTCAAAAGTCAGCTCTCACTAACCTGATAACTCTATTTAAAAATGCCTTAACCCTAGTACCTGCCCTATTTTCTTTGCTCCATAGCACTTACCACGAGTATACCGTATACTTTATTAAGTCTGTTTCCCTCCCCGCCCAGAATGCTCACTCGAAGCAGCCTAAGAGCTAAAACACACTGCTCTGCAAGCATTTAAATAAGTTAATGAAAGAGGGAGCGCGTTACCCCATACTTACTTAATCACTTCGATTAACACAACCGTAGTTAAAACAGAAAAGATGCAATCGCAGATACCTCCGAAAGGTCTCAAAAGTGGAAATCAGTCTCTTCGGGCCACCGGAAGTCGAGCATGGGACCCATTCGAGAGAACGCCCCTGACGGGCTTGCCTCCTTCTTCCTCTCCTCTCCTCCCTATCTCAAACCAAAATGACTAGAATTAGGGAGACAATGTAACTCATCTTCACCCGAAACACTTTTGACAGTGAAAAGGAGCTCTTCTAATACAATAGTTACATTAGGATAAGACGCCTAGCCCGGAACTATTCTGGGGAAGTCTTGGGCTCAGAGGTAAAAATGCCAAGGACCACTTCCGCCTGGTTCCTTTGCCTCTGCCCCGCCCATTCTCACGCGGCCAAGAAGTCCCGCACGGGACCGGAAGTGACGCTGGGGGAGTGTTCCCAGGACTGGTGAGTTTTCCGTGACTTAAATCCCGCGGGCGTAGATTGATGCGAGCTGTGGCTGTAGTCTGCATACTGCAGCGGTAGGAGGTCTAAGAGGTGATAGAGGCAGGAACCGGGCTTGCCGTATGAGAGCATAGGGCACTAGTGGGGAAGGAGTCCAGACTCAAGGACTGACTGGCTGTGCCACCAGGGCTCTTTATTGTCCTGGAAAAGGCCTGAAGTGGGACAGAAGTGAAGGTGGATGAGGTAACTTAAGAAGGTGTCGTTTGTAGGCTGTATAGTGGGACTTACTAATGTTGTTAAACACAGGTCAAGTATTGTTCCCGGCTTTACGGTTAAATCTTGAGACAACACTGAGTTGGGCGCTTATTTTCATTCTTCAGAGGTGGAAACAGCAGAGGTTAAGTAACGTGACATAGCTGGGGCTTTGGGAGTCAGTCTGATTTTTACCCACCGGTGTTCTTACCCACCATGCTCTGCCGCCTCCCATTGTTAATTGTGGCATCAAGCTACACAGCTTTGCAGTTTTCTAATCTGTGAAATGGGGAAATGTTCTGTTATTTCCAAGCGCTCTTTCAAATGTAACGGTAGATAACTCAGCTGGGGGTGGCCCACTTGCACTTGCTAGATTTAGAAGAGTCTGGAGAATGGAATACTATCAGGACGTGGAATGTGCAGAGTGGATGTGGTATAAGGACATTAGAAAATCTTACAGGACCCCAGGCTCCGGTGGTTAATGGAGGCTCCACATCACTTCAAATAGTGCTCTCACTTCAAATAGTGCTCTCATCGCAAATATTTTTGCTGTAGAAATGTTGCCCCAAATCTGCTTTTGAAATCCTTGGGTTGTGAATATTTTATTAAATTTACAGTTGGCTGTGCTTTCTAGTTAATTATTGTGCATATTATGAAATGCTTTTCTTCAAAAACAAAAAATGTTTATGGATACTAAATTTAAGAATGGAATTGATAATGTTATCTTTTCTATTGGATATAGCTGTCTAGAAGGCTTACAGACTCTGTGGGCACAGTGCCCTCCACGTTCATCTCTTGAGCCTGGCCATCCTGTCGCAGGTGTTGGTTCAGGGGCAGCAGCTCCTGCCTTTTGAGTGCTTTTAAATGCCAATATATACCACCCTAACTCCAAGTTCTGCTGTGAGGGGGGAGGGGAATTGTGTCCATCTGTGCAGTAAGCATTTAGTGCTGGTCTATGTTGGTGATCCTGAGATGTATAAAAGATAGTTCCTGTTCAGTAGTATTAGCATACTGGGGAGACAGACAAACAGGAATATAATATGAGAATACCAGGGCAGAGTGGGGCGGAGCAGGGAGGAGGGAGACACTGAAAAGGAAGGTTTGTTAAGAAAAGCTTTATTTAGGAAGCTGAAAGGGACTTGGAAGAAAGGGTAATATTTAGAGAAATGGAGAAGGGAGGAGAATGAGTGGTTGAAGCAAGGGTGGGGAGAACAAGAACAAAGGTGTGGTAGGGGCCGGAGAGGAGGGGATGAACATTTGTGTATTATGTACAGGCTTGTGCTAGGGGACTTACACATATTAATCCATTTGCTCCTCCAGATGACCTGTGAGGAAGGTTATAGTATTTCCATTTTGTAAATGAGGAAACAAATTCAGAAAGGTTAAATGACTTACCTAAGATACCATGTGCTGTAAGTGGCATAGCCAGTATTTGAACTTAGGTATGTATGACTGCAGCTCTTTTGCTCATGTGCTTCATTGCCGCAAAGGTCTGGGCCTAACGTGTACATGTGTACCATTTTCTGTGTTTTGACTTCAGATACTCAGTTTTACCTGGTTCCTGTATGTTGTCATCTCGTGTACGCCTGGTCCCCACGACAGTCCGGCTCGTTCATTCCATGATCTGCAATTCTTCCTCTTCCTTCATGGATCTGAAGGCTCTCCTTTCCTCCTTGAATGATTTTGCATCCCTGTCATTTGCTGAGAGTTGGGACAATGTTGGATTACTAGTGGAACCAAGTCCACCACATCCTGTAAACACACTCTTTCTGACCAATGACTTGACCGAGGAAGTGATGCAGGAGGCACTGCGGAAGAAGGCTGATCTCATTCTTTCCTACCATCCGCCTATTTTCCAACCTATGAAGTGCATAACCTGGAAAACCTGGAAGGAGCGCCTGGTGATTCGGGCTCTGGAGAACAGAGTGGCTATTTACTCACCTCACACAGCCTATGACGCTGCACCCCAGGGAGTCAACAGCTGGTTGGCTAAAGGGCTTGGTCAGAAGCCTCTTGTTCTTTCATGTTTAATATTTTCCTTACAAGTGCTTTGAAATTTTAGTGTGTCTTTCCAATAGAGTTTTAACTGCTCTAATGGTGGGAGCATTATTCTATTTTTACATAATATATTTAAATGTATTGTCGCTAAAATTGGGCAATTAAATTGCATTTGAAAAACAAAATGTTTCTCCTTAATGAGTAAGGAAAGCATAGGGAATCTTCATTGCTGAACTAAGCTTTGTGATTCCTCATTCATGTGGCATAGTGCCTAGCGCCCAGCCACTCTTGAAATGCTTGTTAAATTGAGTTGAAAGCTCAGGCCTTTCCAGAATATACTTAGTCAGTCAAATAGACATCAGAGTTTTATTGAATGCTTACTTTTATGCCCAATATAAGTAAGGAATTCAGTATATGTGTTTTAGCTTTATTTTTAGTAAGTCTTTTTAGTTGACTCATTTTGGGCTGAAGCTTTTATGATGATATAATCTGCATTGATGTGGTCAGGTACATTATGAGCATTTGCAACCTGAATCGTTTACATGAGTAAATTTAGTAAGCAGCCACAATTCTATATATCATCTAAAAATTCATAAATCAGTCTTTCTTGTCCACGTTTTTGTGTTACTTAAGTCTTCTGGAAAATAATTCTGAAAACAAATTTGATTTTGTATATCTGTACTAAATCTCTAGTTTATGGGAACTGTTAGATGTGTATGTAAGGGATTTGTATATGTGTATATATTATATAAGCATCTGAGAATGAATCTAAAAAATACTCATTCAAGTGTTATCCATAATAGTTTATCTTTTTAATTAAAAAACAACAACACAAAAACTCCCATTTCCCCACTTTTCTTTTTTTTTTTTTAGGAGTTTGCACCTCCAGGCCCATACATCCTTCCAAAGCACCTAACTACCCCACGGAGGGAACACACCGAGTAGAATTTAATGTTAACCACACCCAAGACCTGGATGAAGTCATTTCTACAGTGAAAGGAATTTCAGATGTTTCGGTCACTTCTTTTTCTGCTAGGTACAATATAATTTTCTCTTTTTGTGTGTGTATTTATTTGTAAGGATCTTCCTTACAAAGTCTGTAACTCTGGTATTTAGGTTTGAAACAAATCGTTTTCCCCAGGATTGGTTTAAAAGCAGCATACTTCTCACTTGTATGTGGTCCTGGAGAATTATGGGAGCTTTTCAAAACAATACAAACACTAAGTAACACTCGACTATTTATTTTTTTAAAGATTGGGGAATTGGGGGAGGGGAACAGTGTTGGGGAATTGGGGAGGGGGACCAGCCAAGTTGTTGTTCCTCAATCTTCGTTGTGGAGGGCGCCAGTCGCCATCTGGCTTCCTGTCGACAGCTCATGGCCTCTAAGCTCAAGGTGCTGTGTTCAATCTTAGTTGTGAGTGGGCATAGCCACCATTCCACGCGGGAGTCGAACCAGCAGCCTTGTTAAGAGCACACGCTCTATCCATTGAGCCATCCGGGCAGCAGCTCAGCTCAAGGTGCTGAGTTCAGTCTTAGTTGCGGGTGAGCGTAGCCCCCCATTGAACAGGCAATCTTGTTGTTACACCAGCTGAGCCATCCTTCTACTTGTTGGCAGCTCAGCAATAGCTCACCTCTGGCGCAGCTCACTGGCCCATGTGGGAATCGAACCGGCGGCCCTGTTGCTCAGAGCTCGCGCTCTTAACCAACTGAGCCACTCGGCCAGCCCCACACTCAACTATTTTTTTTATATGTGAGGGACTATACTACACATTTTATGTACAGTATTTCTCATCCTCCTGGTAATGGTGAATGGTAGCTCTTTTTACTATAGGGTACAAGCATACCTCGGAGATATTACGGGTTCAGTTCCAGAGCACCGTAATAAAGCAAGTAGCACAGTAAAGCCAGTTGTAATCTTTTTTGCTAGTGGAAGGTCTTGCCTTCAGTTTGTAAAAAAACAACAACTGTGAAGCTCAATAAAAAGAGGTATGTCTGTATATATAAACATAGTGGTATACTGATAACATAGTTTTACTTTTTCAGTTCCCAGCAAATCAGTGATTTGCAAGCTCTTTAATGTATGGAGGCACATACATTACTGTGCCTCCTATAGGGGTAATCATTTATTTAGGGTAGAGATACCAAAATGTTGCCTCATAGATTTTCTTTTTGGTTAATCTACCCTAATAACTATTGAAGCATCATAAAAGACAAGTTATACAAAGCTAGGATTTAACAGTTGTTCAAAAAACAAAGATAAATATAATTACTTTAATCAAATGGAAATCTATTATCAGGCTACACCAAAAAGTGACTCCTTTGAAAATAAAATGACTCCTTTGATAAGTAGTTTTTAAGTATATATACCTGATAATAAAATCATTACAAATGTCCTCTAATAGTATTGGGGACTTTCAAGAACCTCAAGGTGATTTTGATGCATTCTAACGTTTGAGAAACAGTATTTTAGTAAGTGGGGATTAAGTTCTAAATTCCATATAAATATAATATATTACAGGAAGTTGTAAAATATGGATTATTTAAAATACTTCTTGTTTATATTTATCTTAAATCAGTGAGTGACTTTTTTTCTAGGACTGATGATGAAGAACAAACACGGATCAGTCTGAATTGTAGTCAGCAAGCATTGATTCAGGTGGTGGCTTTTCTTTCCCAGAACAGACAACTGTATCAGAAGACTGAAATTCTGTCACTGGAGAAGGTAATAAAAATATCTTATATTGCTGTACATTTTTGTTTGGCAAATTCGTTTGTTAATTGTTAGATCATCAGGCTATTAACTATTACCTAAAGAAGCACAAAGTAGTGATGAGGGCATAATATTCCCTGGGAATTATATTGAGCAGGGGAGACATTCTAGGAATAGAAAAATGTTGATACTTGTTTTAGTCCATTTGGGCTGCTGTAACACATTTGGACTATTATAACAAAATACCACAGACTGGATAGCTTATAAACAACAAAAATTTCTCCCAGCTCTCACATAACATAGTGACATTAATTGTAAAGAATTAATAATACTATGACTACCAGACTGGTAGCCATCATTGTGGTAGCCACAGTATCTGCTTTCTTGTTATTCTTGCAAACAGTTATTTGGGACACACAAGTCTTTGTAAAACCTTTGATTCGATTTCTTCCAAGTACCCCCCTCCCTAAGACTCAGCTCATTTATTTTATCATTCCTTTGTGCTCCCACTAAAAAATAGCACCTACCTTATATTTAAACACCTTTTTTGTGATTATTTAAACATCTGCCTTCCCAGGAGACTCTGGGAAAGTAGGGCAGTGTGACTAGAAGTCAGAGAATGTTTTTGTCAGGTTTGTCTCTCCAAACTTGAGCCTGGAGCTGACTGTCGTAAGCTCACAGCATGCATGTTGTATTGATCTCTGCATTTGCTGTTTATTCTACAGGTTTGTTTTCTAGGACTGACGATGCACAGTTTTTCTAACTTGTGTTTCTCTTCAGCCTCTGCTTCTACATACTGGAATGGGACGGCTATGCACATTGGATGAACCTGTCTCCTTGGCAACCATGATTGAGCGAATCAAAAGGCACCTAAAACTATCTCATGTTCGTCTTGCTCTTGGGGTAGGGAGGACCTTAGGTAAGTATGTTTTCTTTATTTGTCTACTATACATACTGATAACATTGGGCAAAAGTTGAATCTCTTGATTGTATTAAGTGAAAGGAAACATGTTTAGCAGCTCATAGGAGATGACTGGTTTACGTTATCAATGAGGGTGGGTTAGGTTCTGCTGTTATAAACATCTCCTTGGCTTCAACAAGAGTTATTTCTGTCACACTCTGTTCATCCCAAGTCATCAGGGGAGGTCTGGTCGCTGTTGCAGAGTGAGAGATTTGGAGCATCTTAAACCATCAGTTAAACATTCTAGCCTGGAAATGAACTTTTGTTCAACTCATTGTCCAGAATTGGTCACATTGCCCAATCTAACCTAGGATGCACATGCAGTGCCAACCTATCACATGCCAGGAAGAGCTGGGAATTATAACTGCTCCAGTTACTACACAAATCTTGCACTTTATAATACCGGTGATACTTTATCGTGAGATGCTACTAAGTGAAGTGACCCTCTGCAGTTTCTGAGTCTCGTAGTCGCTATCTTTTCTTTTGGCTTTTTCCAGTACTTTGGGGAACAAAAGGAATGAACAGAACATTTATTAGACCCCTGCAGTGAGCCTAGCGCTGTACTAAGTATCCTAAGTATATAGTTCCCACTGCAAAGGAACACAGGTTGTGGATGTGGATTCTGAATGTCTTGTGCTCAAATTTATCTGTCCTATTTGCTGCTTGACTTTGACAAGTTAGTTAACCCCTTTGTATCCTGGTAGTCACATCTGTAAAAACTGCAGTAATAATAAACCCTAACTCATCGAGGTAGATACATAATCTATGTGACAGAGCAGTCACTGGCACACATTAAGTACAGTAAATGCTAGCTCTTGTTAGCTCTGTGGTAGGTGTTGTATTCCCATTGTATAGGTGAAATCACTGTGGTTCAGAGATAACTAAGTTACCCAGAAGTCCACAATTGGATGAAATGACTCATGGGAGTTAATTTCCAAAGGAAATGGATGGCAGAAGTGGGATTTGACTTCGGATCCAACTCCAAAGCCTCTCTTTTGAAATAAACCACTGTTGTCTGGCCACTAATGAAGTATCCATTCTAGAAATCTAAGTGCTAAATACTTGTTGGATTTTGGCTTGAACGTTTCTGTTATTTCACAATTCAGAGGATACTCTTTTAAGATAAATAACCATATTTAAAAATGTGTCAAATCCATTCGTAGCGGTCTTCTAACTGCCCCTTTTAGTTCCTCTGCTTCCTCACCTGAGAACAGATACTCCCTGCCTACCTCGCACTGTTGCCTGGACACCCAGGTGAGGTTACTTTGCCTAATAGCATTGCGATAAAGCCTAGAGCTGTACTGTTAGCATCTTTCAGTGGTGCCTTCTGTGGGCTTGTGGTGCCATGTATGTCCAAGGGAATAACAACCCTGCCTTGGTTTAGCTGTGCCATACCAAAGATAATCTGTTTGCCTGTATGAAGATATGTTTTGGTATATTTTTTAATTCAGTAAGCAAATTCCTATCCTGGTGATGAGACCAGGAAGGAAGTCTGCATTATATTTAGGATTCTTGGTGCAAATTATAATGTTAACACGAAGGGGAATTACAAAGTATTGGTCTCTTGTCTCCTTTATCTTGAAGAGTCCCAAGTCAAAGCTGTGGCCTTGTGCGCTGGTTCTGGGAGCAGTGTGCTGCGGGGGGCAGAGGCTGACCTTTACCTCACAGGTAGGCCCGCCTTTCCCTCTCTTTCTACCCTTTTTCTATGTATCCTTTCCCAACCTTGGTTTATATTTTACAAGTTAAAAATACCAGCTTTTAGGGTAGCACCTGGCATATAGATGGATCTAATAAATGTTTTTTGAACCCGAACTAAATAAGAACTACCTAGAAATATTCTTTGTGGAAGGAAAAAAATCATGTAACGGTTTATTATTAGATTATCTAAAAAACCCCAAGCAACCTGATGTTCACCATTTAACTTATATTCTTCCAAATGTGGTTTCTCTCCGATTTCATGTCAGTTAATGGGACACGTTCTACCTTGTCACGTTAGCTAGAAGATGGTTCCTCTTACTCAGCCCTAAAGTCAGTTATCAGTTCCTATTAGTTCTAGCTCCAAAATCTTTCTAGAACCTTTCCCCTTGTCTCTCTCCAGGCATCATCTCCTGCCTGAAGTACTTCATCAAGTCTCTATCTTAACCATCCACATACTCCCTCAAAATTAGCTTTCAAAAGTACAGATTTGATGGTGCATAACATTACCCTGGCTAAAAACCTTCAGTGATTTATCTGTCCTGCTGAAGCCTGAGTGTCTCATCCTTTTTCATGCAGTCTTTGCTTGTGCTGTTTTTCTCTGGCTAGAATGTCTTTTCTTTGCCCCTTTCTTTGTACTTCTCCAGATAAGCTGAAAGATACCTCCTTTGAGAAACTTTTTCTGTCACTGTCTGGCTTCTGTCCCTGACGGTCATACCTTCCTCTTCGATCCCTGTCACTATGTCCTTAACCTCCTGTATGCATTTGTATTGGACAGTAATTGTTTGGCTCCCAGCTTGACACTGTCCTTGAGGATAATAGCTAATAGATAACATGGTCATCATTCCTCCCAAGGAAGTGGGAGAAATTCCTTGCTGCTACCAGCTGCGTCTCCACCTTTGCTCCTCCGCAGTGTCCGCAGTGGGCGTCAGAGGTTACTTTTCCCACCTCGAGGACCGACTCTAGGCCTTAATCCTCTGGTCGTTCCCTTGGCTACCTCTGTGCCTCTCCAGCTCCCACATGCACCTTATCTAGCACACCTTCTTACAAAGGCTGCAAGCCTGATGTAGTTGCTCTGAACCAATTGAAAATGTACACAACCATAATGTTTTCTATCCTTCTGAAGATGGAAGATTTTTCTAAGCCCTCAATCTTGTACCCAATTGAAATAAATTTACTGTGTAGGCGATTGGACAGAATATCTTACAGCATGGTGTGTGACTAATTGTAACATTTCACTTTGAAGGAAATTCAGATTTATAGAAAAGGTGCAAAATAGTATAATGAACTCCTGTGTGCCCTTCACTTAGATTACTGATTATATTTTGCCACACTTGTACATTCTGTGTACTTATTATATAAGTGCATGTATATATATGTGTGTATATAAATATGTTTCCCCCCAAAACCATTTTGTAATAAATTGCAGACCTGATGATCTTTTACCTCTAATACACCAGCATATATATCCTAAGAACAAGGACATTCTCTTATATGACCTTGGAACAGTTATCAAATTCAGGAATTTAATAGTGTTAAAACACTTATTAATATACAGTCCTGTTCCTAGCTTGGTCTTCAGAGCATTGACTTTTTTTTTTTTAAGATTTTTTTTGGGGAAATTGGGGGAGGGGAACAGCATTGGGAAATCGGGGAAGGGGAACAGACAACTTGCGGCCCATTTGTTCTTCAGTCTAGCTGTGGAGAACGTCACTTCACTGGCCCATGTTGGTATTATCATTGTGCTCTTCCCGGGTGAGGCAGATCGGTCGTCGGCCTCTGGATGGCCACTCACAGCGGCTCTTGGCAGCTCACGCCAGCTGCCGGCTGCTCATGCTGGCTGCCAGCCACTCACTGTAGCTCACGGCAGCCCACTGCAGCTCCACTGCAGCCTACGCCGTTGCCGGCAACTCACGGCAGCCCAGCTCCAGGTCAAGCTGTTGTTCACCATCTTACTGTAGAGGGCGCAGCGTCACTGGCCCTAATGTGAGATCCGAACCGGGCCCTGCTCAGAACTGGCGTCCCAAGCCAACTCTTAAACTGTGCCACTCGGCTGGCCCAGCATTGACATTTTTGAAGAGTATAGGCCATTTGCTTTGATATATCTCTCAATTTGGGATATGATTATTTTCTCATAAATGACTTTTTTAAAGCTAGCTTTTTATTGTAAAGCAACATGTGCATAAGATAAGTTCACAAGAGTTCCAAAATGGGCCGGCTGAGTGGCGCGTTGGTTAAGAGCTGGCTTGGGACGCCAGAGGGCCCCGGTTCGGATCCCACATATGAGGGCCAGTGACACTGCCCTCTACAGCTAAGTAGCTGAACAACAGCTCAACCTGGAGCTGGGCTGCCGTGAATCACCCGTGATGGTGTAGGCTGCAGCCCCTGTGGCAGTGGGTTGCCATGGGCTTCCGTATGTAGCCAGCAGCCAGCGTGAGCGGCTGTCCAGAAGCCGGTGACTGATCTGCCTCACCTGGGAAGAGTGCAATGATGGTGCCAACTTGGGCCAGTGAAGCAACGTCCTCTACAACTAGACTGAAGAACAAAAAGGACAGCAACTTGTCTGTTCCCCTTCCCCGATTCCCCAACGCTGTTCCCCTCCCCCAATTCTCCAATAAAAAAAATCTAAAAAAAAAGAGTTCCAAAATATTAAGCTGTCCTTCCTGTTGGGGAATTAGAAAATATCTTATCTGGCTGTGGCATCACTCAGAATATAACTTCAGGGTTGGAAAGCACCAGCCAAAAGACTATATAGGCCTCTGCCGATGTTCATCATCCTTCCTTTGAGCGTAACATTGTATTAGGCTGTTAAGGGCAGTATCCTAGAAAGACCAGCAAATGGGGAGCTTGCTCCTTGCAAACATTGTATAAATTCTGTCATTTGCTTTTTCTTTCTTACAGCTGCCTTCCTGAGCCAGGCTTTTCTTTCCTTTGCCTTCAGCTATTATCACAGGGTCTTCATCGATTGCATTCTCCAGCCAGCATTTCTAATAGTCCAGGCAGCCAGACTTGTCTTTCCTAAAGCATGGCTTCTAACTGGGCCACCTGTGTGTTCTTTTCTCCTTTTATTTCACCTTGATATTGTTTTAAAAGGTGCTTGAGGGTCAACTGAGTTGGTTAAGAGCATGAGCTCTGAGCAACAGGATCGCTGGTTTGATTCCCACATGGGCCAGTGAGCTGTGCCTGAGCTGAACTGCCAACAGGTGGCAGGATGGATCAGCTGGTGAGAGCACGTGCTCCTAACAACAAGGTTGCCGCACTCCCGCATGGGATGGTGGGCTATGCCCACCCGCAATTAAAATTGAACACAGCACCTTGAGTTGAGCTGCCATGAGCTGCTGACTGGCGGCCGGATGGCTCAGTGGTTAGAGTGTGTGCTCTTAGCAACAAGGTTGCTGGTTTGACTCCCACATGGGATAGTGGGCTGCACCACCCTAAGATTGAAGGTCAACAGCTTGGCTGTTCCCATTCCCCAATTCTCCAATAAAATCTTAAAAAAAAAAAAAGTGGGAGAAAACCCCTTCCCCTCTTTTAAGAACCTTTTTTTCCCTATTTTTTATGCCTTTATGTTTGTTTCAAAATTATGGTTTTTGTGAACAAGCCAAATTATGTACAGTATATTTTTGCTCTTAAATTAGAAGTCATCTTGGGGGCAGCTGATTAGCTCAGGTGGTTGGAACGCAGGCTCATAACACCAAGGTTGCCGGTTCGGTTCCCACATGGGCCAAGGAGCTGTGCCCTCTACAACTAGATTGAAACAACTGCTTGACTTGGCGCTGATGGGTCCTGGAAAAACACACTGTTCCCCAATAAAATTTCTTTTAAAAAAAGTCATTAGATTCACAGATGTTTTTAAAAATTCAAAACATTTGAGTTTTCCCAAAACCTTTTCACAAAAGATATGAACCTCTCCCACCAGTAGCAGAGTTTCTAGGAATTTTGCCCAAATCAAAGGAAAATACCTTGTTTTTAATTAAGAAATAACCTTATGTTCATTTCATCCTTATGAATTGGACTAGGGTTGATACTGAAAATTTTGGTGCTCACAAAGCATAAAGGAGTCTTCTGGGAAGTATACCTAGAATTTTCTTGACATATTTGTTATTTAATACTCACGGAAGAAAGAAACTCTCTGAAAGCCCCATTTTACTTAGCAGTGGTCACTTATTTTGTGGAATCATTTTGAATGGGTTCTACAGGTTAGGTTCTAGAAGTATTAGATACTATTGGATATACAAGTTTGGATACTTGTCTTGCGTCTGCCAAGAATTTGGAATTCGCAGTGTGACGGTCTCTGTCTGTTTTTAAAATGGAGGACAAGTAAGAAACCTGTACACCACTTTCTAGGTGTGTATATATCAAGTTCTGCTGCATTACATTTGCTTCGTACAGAATGTATGGTTATGGGTCAGCATCCCATAGACTGTGTTTAATACTTAAGTACTTGCTCTTTCCTTTGTTGGTAGGTGAGATGTCCCATCATGATGTTCTGGATGCTGCTTCCCAAGGAATAAATGTCATCCTCTGTGAACATACCAATACTGAACGAGGCTTTCTTTCTGATCTTCGAGATATGCTGGGTGCTCACTTGGAGAATAAGATTAATATTATCTTGTCAGAGACAGACAGGGACCCTCTTCATGTGGTATAATGCATACAGGAACAAGAGGATGAGTCTTCAAATCATTTCGCTCCTAACTCGAATGTATAACATGAATCGGTGAAGTTGGTTTCCTTCTGGAAGAATGTCTTAGAATGTACATTATGTTTGTTAATCTGCTTCACCAAATGTTCTGTAGCTTATAGAGTAAAAACTGTAATGTATTGATTATTAACGAAATATTCATTATAAAGAACAAATTATAAACTTTAGGCAAGATTGACTAAAATCTGTTACCATCTGTGGGAGATAGTTCAAGTAATCTCCTTAGCTTAATTATAAATGGGATGTGTCATTCTAGATCTTTCTGCCCTTGGTTAGTTTTAAAATATACTTTTTTTTTTTTTTAGCTGAGCCATCCTGCCACCTGTTGGCAGCTCAGCTTGGGCTGGGAATCGAACCAGCGACCCTGTTGCTCAGAGCTCGCACTCTTGAGCAAGCTCTTAACCAACTAAGCCACTTGGCCGGCCCCTAAAATATACTTTTAAGACTGGGTATTGGAACACTTTATAGTAGCATCTAGGAGATAAGCTCTATGTATTCCTGTTTCTAGATCATAATCTCCCCTCTAAATTTCAGAATCAGGAAGAGATTTATCGGGATGAGGTTTTTTTTTTCCCTTTACATATAACTTGTTTTATTGCTTTTTAGGTAACTTACCTGTAATTTTATTAGTAATATATAAAGATGGTTGGCTTTCAAATACTACAGTGGTTATTTACACAATATTAATTTTGTGCCAGGCACTCAACTAGGTGCTTTATAAACATTTTCAATCCCTTATAAAAAGAAGCATGTAGATATTATTCCCATTTTTACAGATGAGCAAACTGAAACGCTCCAGAGCTTCTCCCCTCCTAGAATGTAGGAAAATACATTCTGAACAATGCTACTGGCTGCACATTTAGATAGCTGGGGGGTGAAATAGACTTCTAAACATTTTCTTAGTAATGTTTTGTTTTCTTAGTAATTTTTTTAAAAGTTAAGCAAAATCTATTAACCATCCCCCAAACTCACTGATCTTGTATACAAATGAAATGTTCATGTGTTAAAATGACAAACATGATGCTAAGAAAGTCCAGTTTCTGGAGTATCACAAGAACTAGCACTCCCTCATAAGGAATTCAGTCTTATGCCAAGTTTGTGGAGTACAAATATATGTTTTACATCCCTTATGCCTTTTTGGCCCACTTAATTAGCCATTTTATTAAGAGCAGCCAGAAAAATCTTTCAAGGTTTCAGGTCTGTTCAATCTTGCTAGAAGCAAGTAACAGCAAAAACTCCGGTTAGAGCTTAACGACATTGATATTGTAACAAGTTAAAGAGCACACAATTCTGCTATAATCCTCATCAAATCTGTAAACTGAACCCAGAGTTTTTGAGGCACTTCAAAAAAACAGTACTATAAATAAAAAAAGAGTGATTTTATCCAAATTGGCTTTTTATTTATTAATAATAAAGACTATTGACACATACTGCTTGCAAATAGTATAGACACAAAAATTAAAAAAATAAACCAGTAGATTTTTAAGGGCAAATGTAAAGTTTGCACATTAGGTCATTTGAATATTCTGTATACTTTTTTACACTATTTTTATAAACTAGATTATCTTAAGCCAAAAAAAGCAAGGTGCAAATCAGCAAGTATCATATGCTATCATTTGTGTTTTTAAAAGGAGAAACAGACCAAAAACCCTCACATGTACATAAAATACCTCTGGAAGAATAAACTGCTATCAACGATTGCCTATGGGATTGGATCAGGGAATTGGAAGGAAACTCACTTTTCATTGTATAGCGTTTGGTACAATTCAAATTTTTTAGAATCATCATGTACAAATTTCTTTAAATATTCTGATTAATATGTAAGACTAAACCCTTAGTACATGGGTTTAACAAATTATATGCCACAAAGAAATGATTTAAAAAGTTCTCAGCATTTTGGGAAATATTTTCATGAAGGGGGTTTACAAGACAAGACATGAGTGAAAAATGCTGATGCAGTACATACTTTATTACAGTGCTATTTTTATGAAGAATTTAATTTCCAAGTATGAAATATTTCAGGGAGTGTGTGAAGATGATAAGCTGACTACAGTGGCCAAAGTTAGCCTTTTTCCTAAGAAAAATATTTAGGAGGATTGAAATTGTCACTTTAAGAAAAAAACTGAAATGTCTTACAGTGGGGTTTTAGGTGTACGTAATAGAGAATTCAAGATTAATTTTAAAGCCAGTCATTAATATGCTACTCATCTGCATGTTTTTCAAGACAAGAAAAATATGTTAATATACAAGAATAATTAAATTTTTATTTTCTGTTGTCTTGAAAAGAATGACTAAAATGTATTGCAGGAGTGTATTTCTCTAGCCTGGCTTCTCACTTGTATCCTGAAGGTGATGGCACAGACATGAACTGTTCTGAATATCATGTTCTATTGTTCATGTGCTTTCTGGGGTGCGTATACACACTATATACTTGATAGGCTCTTCCCACTATCCTGACTGAATAGTGTCATATCCCCTCCCACCCCCCAGTGTGGAGCCTAAATCCCAAAGCAGAGTGTGGGATCACCTGCTTTTCCCGTCTTATGCCTTTCGTTAAGCCATTTCAGAAACTAGTAAGAGATGATCTGCCTTCCTGTCGGACACACAGAACAACCTAAGAAAGCAGATTTATGTGATGCCAGTGTCTTTGTACTTCCAGTCTGGAACAAGCACATTTGCAAATAGTCAGCTCCGGGAGTGTTAAAAGGCCCTCAAAAACTTAGGAGTCATATCATCTCTAGTATAAAAGAATTCACAAACATTCAGTTCCAGTGAGTCCCTGAGCACACTGTTCATTCCAACAAGAAATCTCCAGAGAGGTAATGAATGAAAGGCACATTTTCTCCAACTTGAGGATCACTGCATAGCACAGTACTAGAGATGGTACACCAGCCAGGCTACTCAAGGTTCTAAAATGATGACATTCCCCCCTCCCAATTTTAAATCTTGTGCCCTGGAAAAAGTCTAATGCTGGAAGTGAACACAACACTTTAGAGGAGTAGCAGCTGGAGTACAACAACCCTTCCACAGAAGATCCAAGAGTAGAAGACAGCTTCAGGAAGACTCCTCTTCCTTTTCCAGGAAATCAGTCAATGTTCCATTGTCAATAGGAATTAATAAATATTCCACTCCATCACTTCCCTAAGAGAGATAAGAATACCCTGGACGTGAATCATTCGTAAGAGATATATTTGAATCCTATTGTAGGTGAATCAAAAAGGACTTAATATTTTATATAAATATACAAGTATAAAAATTAAGGGAAAAAAGCACACAGGCATATGTATCTATTTAAATAGAGTTTCTAGTTAAACCACGATAGTGGAGAAAAGACTAGAAGGTGAGTAGGTGGGTCTTTATTTTCTTCACCCTCCTGCTCTTTCTACAATTGTACACAGTGATTTGTCTGTTTTGAAATTTCCCTTTTAACTGGATCCTTTCCATTGGTCTCTAAATACATTTAGGTATTTCCCATTTTTAAATAACTCACTAGATTTCTCATTCTTCAACTGTCACCAACCTCTGCACCTTTCCAGAAGAGCTGTCTATAAATGGTGGTCGTCATTTCCTCACTTTTCACTCAACCCAGTATAACCTGGCTACTGCCACCATTATCCTGTCACCAAAAGAGTTTTTGCTTAGACCACCAAGGAATTCCATTTCCTAAATCCAACAGCTATCTTCAGTCTTCCTCTCTTGGCCTCTCAGCAGCACCTGACACTGCTGACCATTCTTTATTAAACATGCTTCTCTTGGCTCCTGTGATGTCATACCCTGGTTTTCTTCCTGGCTCTCTGGCTGTTTCTCTCACCTTGCAGACTTATCTTTTACTTGGCCATTAAATGTCACACTTCTAAGCTTAACCCCTGGCCCTCTAATCTCTCTAGGTAGTCCTACCAATGACTGGTTTCAGTTACAACCAAAATACACAGGAATCATACATAACCTTGTATCTCTAGCCCAGATATTCCCTCGTTCTTGTTGCAGGAATCCAACTCCCTAGCTGACATCTCCACTTGGAAATCTCAAAGGGACCTCAAACAGAGTTAAGTCTGAACATACTAATCCTAACTCATGATCCATCCTCCCCCAAAAGTTGCTCTTCCGGTTTCTTATTCACTGATCCTACTATCTCTCTGGTTATGCAAGCCAGACACTTTCCTTTCCCTTGGCTCCCATATCTAATTTATCATCAATTCTTGTCAATTTTGCCTCCTACATGCATCTTGAACCCAGCCATTTTTCTCTCTTTATCCTAGACCAAGTTATCAGCATCTCACCCAGGCTGTAACACCTTCCTTGCTGGTCCCTGTGCATTAAATTCTGGCAATTCCCATCCCATTCTGTCCCACTGCACTCTGATACCAGAGTCACAACAGTTTTTTAAATGTCTTCCTATTACTTTTGAATAAGGATTAAAATCTTTTCCGTGGCCTAAAAGTCATGCACGGTCTAGCCCTTACATCACTATCTTTTCAGGCTTATCTTGTGCCATGCTGGCTGCCTTTTTTGTTCCAGGGTGTCTATATGCTGTTCCTGCCTGGACTGCGTGTCCCTTCCCTACCTGACTAGTTATCTCCTAGTCTTCTTTTAGATCTCAGTTCAGTGGTCTCTTCTGATATTCATACTAGGTCAATCCAACTATTTTAATATGCTCTTTCAGAACCATGTACCTCCTGATCACAGGACTTATCACAGATAAAATTTTACATGGGTACATATCCTCCACTAGACTTTAAGCTCTGTGAGGAAAGGTTTTTGCTTATTACTGTATCCTAATACCTAGTGCAATATCTGATTACAGTTAGCACACAATAAATATAGACCAGATTAATGAATGGGATAGAGGAAAAGCGGGAGAAAGGAATACAATTATTGGATTCCTAATACATTTCAAATGGCCTATTACTTTGGACCAGAACTGTTAGGTTTTCTGCTCTGCTCTGAAACAGAGTAATTCTGCCTATCTCTTTCTACAGACTCCAATGGCACATTCCCTAAATGGTCCTTGTGACCCGTCTTGGAACCTTATTTTCATAATCATATCTCAGTCAAAGGGATATTTATCCTTAAGTAAATGACATTTGCCATTCCTCTCAGGTAATGCTACAACAGCAAAGTCTTACCTTCTTTGTTCTTATAAGCTTGTGGTCCCTAAATTCAGTTAACTGGGCCCGAAGTGTCAGATCACTATTGACGAGGAATGCCTCCCGACACTGCTGATAAAAATCTTGAAAAGAAAGTCCTGGAGAGTTCAAAAGGAGATGGGAACATAAGTCAGGTTTTGAGACATGACCCCATATGTGGATACCCACCAAAGAACACAGAAAAAAAGGGCTGTGGTCACAGTATATCAAAGCAGTAAGTATTGATTTTAAAAAGTAAGTGCCTCTCAAAGAAACAAAACTAGAGACTACTTAGGTATTGTACACTGTGACTTGTATTTTTTAAGGAGAACCGATTGGTTGAAAATAGTCAACTATGACAAAGTATAACATAATCCTGTGGGCAGTATTAAACAGCGTGAATAAAGTTGACTTTATCATGAGAGATGATTATTAAAATGTTTGTTTAAATTATTGGGTTGTCAGAAAAGTCATGACGCATTTTTGCAACAAAAAACATAGAAAAAATACGTCATGACTTTTCTGACAACCCAATAACACACTGCTTTAACTCAAAGGGAAGAAAATCTCCTAAGATGCCCAGTGTATGAAATATATGTAATTGGTAAATACACATTCATAGTTAGCACAAGCAATTTAAAAAGCAAGCTGGGTTTGTTTTTCAATTTGCACTGGCAAACAGCCTACTGAGTAGTGCATCTGTAGGGCCTCTTGAAAATTTGGTATGTGGCAGACACACTGATCACAGAGCAAGCTGCTATGGGAAAACAGTGATATTATTAGATTCCAGAAAAAGGAATTTAAGCGGTGAAAGAATAGTCACACAATTTAATATCACAAATATTGGATACCTATGTAAGAAGGGTTATCCTGGTTATCCAGCTGATACTTTATTAGTAGCCTGAAAATCCCCCTAAGGAAAAAAACAAACAGGAATTTAAATTCAGAATGTTAAATTAACATCAAATGATAACAGCTAGTAGCAAAATACATGAAGAGAATGTCAAATACTTGGCCTGCCTGTATTAGCTCCTGTTCCTTTCTCCAAGGAATATCATATCCTGGGCTACTTATAAGGAGAAGCTCTTTTACTTCCTTTAAAGGAAAACCTAGGAGTATTTTCTTTTTAGACCATAGGTTAATTCACTATACAAAACTTGGAATATATAATAAAATCTAATGGGGAAAATATCCATCCCACAGCCCTAAAATAACAATCACTAACCTTTGATATGGAGATCATATTTGTGTATGCTGCTTTCTCAAATCTTTGTAGAATGAGGCATTGTGGAAACATACATTCACGCACTTATTTGTGGTATACACAATTTTATACCTCACCGTTTTACTTACTGATTTTTCCATGTCTTTAAAAACTCTTCCTAAACAATTTTTAATGGCTGTTCATCTATGGTATCATGTACCATAAACTTACCATTTTCTTACTGGTTTTGGATGTTTACTTCCAATTTTAATTATTAAAAATAATGTCATGTTAAATAAAACTATAAATATTTTTTTTATATTTTGAATTATTTCTGTAGGAGAGTGTACCAAGTGGAATTGTAGGGTTGGAAGCAGTGTTACACAAAGATTCCCAGGAGTCCCTGGGTGTAGCAAAAATTTTCAACCTGTGCATTTCCATTTTTATGATAATTACTTATAAGCATATTTTGGGTCATCTGAATGACCACTTACAGCTAAGCACAGTTGACCCTTGAACAATGTGGGGGTTACAGGCACCAACCCCTCATGTAGTTGAAATTTCGAGTATAACTTTGGACTCCCAGTTGTCCCTTAGTATCTGCAGGGGACTGGTTCAAAGATCTGCCCCCCACGCTGACACCACACTCCATGGACACTGAAGGCCCTCACATGAAATGGCATAGAACAATGCTGCATTGAGTCAACCCTACACATCTGTGGATTCCCACTCATGGATTGAAAATACTGTTTTCCATTCCCAGTTGATTGAATCCATGGTCGATTGAATCCATCGATGCAAACAAGGGGATACAGAGGGCCGACTATATATTTATTGAAAAAAATCCAAGTATAAGTGGACTCGCATAATTTAAACTTGTGTTGTTCAAGAGTCAACTGTACTGCCATTGATTCCACAACTAAATTTTGGTTAAGATTTTTCATCAGTGACATTCATACTAAGTAAAAACTAAATGATATTGGAGTTTGCAGAATGAACCAAAATTTCAAAGTTGTTTAAATACATTTTAAAAAAAGTGTTGAAGGCTAGAGCACCGACATTTAGATATGCCAAACTAAAAAGTATTTCCATTAGAGCAGTCAGGGTCTATTTAATGCTGGGAGTGCTTATACTGCATGGATCCCCAACTTTGTATGCAGTAACTCGCCCCAGTCCACTAGCAATAAGCATAACAGTAAAATTGAATGGAGACTTCTGTTCATAACTCCATAAAAAATTCTGATTAGATACCCATTTAATACATATTTCAATATTAACACAACGCTAATCTTATTTTCAAGTATACAAAAACAGCTTTATAAAGTAACAACATTCATTAGCATTTGAGAGTTAACAAGAGGGAGTCTTGTGGTGATACAGCTGAGTATCTTCATTATGGTGGTAGTTACGCAAAGCCACACATGACAGAACTGCAGCGCGCACACAAGCTGAGTGCACGCTATCACTGGTGAAATCTAAATAAACTCTGGATCATGCCAATGTCGGTTTCTTGGTTTTAATACTGCACTGTGGTGTGAGGGGTAGTTAGGAAAGAGGTGCGGGGGCTTCCCTGTACATTTCTTTGTAGCCTGTGACTCTGTAATTATTTCTAAACAAAAAGCTTTAAAAAAACCCAAAGAAAAAGAAAAGAAATTGCTAGTAAAAAAAAAAACCAAGATCTACTTGTAAGTTCCTATGTATCCTGCCTCCTATTTCCCTCCCTTCTTTTCCAGGGTCAGTACTAGCCTCAATTAGGGATTTTTCATATCCACACGTTTCAAAACTTTATTCATATAAATATATGTATCCATATATACATATCTATGTAAAAATTTGAACACTGTATAGTATTGTTTTACATGCATTTTATTTTTACATCTACCATCCTGTCTGGTTTAGTATTTGTCTTGAACAAAAATGTCTGGGTTCTGACAATAAGTGATATTGTCACACTACTGTTACCCCACATAAGTCAAATTCCTGGCTGCCAATGTTGCTTCTAGATCCAGAACACAGCTGAGCTGTGGCTTCAGCTCACTCACTGCTTTATGATTCTGTTCCATTGAGATGTTCATATTTTGAACCAGGCTGTATCTTTTTATTTTTTGTTGTTTTATATTTTATCTATTATGCAGTGAGTCTGGCACAAAAGGAGGTAAATTAAAGTGTCAAAGCAGGGCCGGCCGAGTGGTTCAGTTGGTTAAGAGCTCGCTCAAGAGTGTGAGCTCTGAGCAACAGTGAGCAGTTCGAGTCCCGGCCCAAGCTGAGCTGCCACTGAGCTGCCAACAAGTGGCAGGATGGCTCAGCTAAAAAAACACAACAAAATAACTGTGAAAGTATTGTGCCATCTTAAACAGAAGTATCCCTTCACTGCTCTTAAAAAAATACTCTTTGCTAGTTTCACCTGCTTGTTCAGAAATTTTGAATTTTCTGTCAAATTTAAAGCACAAAAAGAAAAAATCAATTCCATTTTGATTAACTTATAAATCTAATACATTTCTAACTTGGGAGGAATTGCTACATTTATAATATTTAGTCCACTCATCCAAAACCACAATATTTCTCTTCATCTATTCAAATCTTAATTATCTGTTCTCAACAAGGTTTGTTGTGTTTCAACACTTCCTCTTGTTAAATATAGTTCTAGAATTCTATGCTTTGGGGGGAGTTTGCTACTAAAACCCTCTTTCAACAGGTTTTCATACAATTTATTTTTTTGCTGGCTTATGCTATTTCCAGCTTTTCTTAGCTTTTATTAATTCAGATATGTTTCTTGGTTAGGCTGCTGAAAGTTAGTTAGGCTCCGCTGGAAACATTAATAAAAATGTGTTTAAAAGCATGAGCTTTGGAGCCAGGTAGATTTGCATCAAAACCTTGAGCCGGGCAAGTGGCTCAGTTGGTTAAGAGCGCAAGCTCTGAGCAACAGAATCGCCTGTTCGATTCCCACATGGGCCAGTGAGCTGCGCCCGAGCTAAGCTGCCGCTAAGCTGGTGAGAGTGTGTGCTCTTTGCAGCAAGGTTGC